TATGATAAACAATTCTTAACCTGATGCTAGACTCTTTCAAAAAATTTTCAACTTCATAACATTTGTGTCATTGATCTTTCAGATATAGCATCCATGTTGTTGAATTTGTTAAATTTTATCGGAGGCTATTGTCCTTCTAGGTTTATAGTCTTTAAGTCATTGACCTTTTAAACTTAACATACCACTCTAGCAATGAAAACATTTAGACTTCTTAAAGTCCATTTCTAGTAAAAATCTTAATTAACATCGTGAACAACATTTAGGTCATTCCCACATGTGTGTATACACAAGCATAAGATTTACAAAAAATTATCAAACATTAATTTTCAAACTTAACAATTAACATAATTGATTCACGTTAATTACAAAATAATTTTTGATTGACTACTCATCTATAGAGGATGGACCTAACCATTAAAATAATATTACTAAACATAATATTATATATGTCAATCATTAAATTTATTGTAAAATCAACCATTAATAATTTTGTGTAAACTTTTCATGTGTACGAGTAAATCCTTTTTATATATAAAACAAACTATAACAAACAAACATAAACTTATATTAAATTTTGCCCACAAGTTTTACCCTATAATAAAAAATAAGAAGAGCGGATAGCATGTGGGTAGAGTACTAGGTTAATAAATAGGGTGAAAAATATGGGAGGACGTATGATGATATATAGGCTCATTTTTTAAAACGAAAAAAGAAAAGGAAATTGGGATTTATTGTAAATCGTAAGGCCAAAACATGATCACAAAGACATAAATTCAATATGCTACAAATTCGTGAAAAAGGGATTAAATTCACAACCTCTTCCCTTCATTGGAATGGATGTCACAGCATTTAGTGACTTCAAATATGGAAACCAGAATTGAATTGCTTTGTTTTGATTAGAGGGCAGCGAAGAGCATTCATTCATTCATTCAGACGAAATCAACGTACGGATCCCTTTCATGTGCCAACCAAGCTCCACCACACTATGGCCTCACTGCCATTAAGTTTGCTGCCACATTCAAATCTCCATTGCTAGTCCTGCGGCCTGTCTGTGAGTAATGTTATTGCTACAACCTAGAGTGTTATTTTGTTTCATATATATTTTTTCAACATTTTGTCTACGAGTAAGTGAAATGAAGTTTATAAAAACTCATCATTTAAAGGGATACAAAAATAAAAGTACAACATTTTGGAATTTTTTTGTTTTTTTTTTAAAATTTAAGTTGCACAATAAAAATTAACTCTTTCTCATTTTTTTACATACTTTTAAATACATGTTTACGACTCAAATTTAAGATTGCTTCTTTTACTTGGAGGAGAAATTGCCACCAACCCACTTAGGTTATTGGCCAACATTTTGGAATGTTAATTGTTTTTTGATGTTTAATGTGGGGCTGTTCTTGAATTAATTTTTCATGCCTCTTGAGATTAAATTCTTCTTCAGCAATCTTAAGAATATACCTCTTACATTAACTTGGTACATTTAAGAAAATTAATTTTTTTAAGTACTAATTCTAACGCTTGAACTATAAATTTAACTTATAAAATAATATTTATTTATTAATAAATTCAACCATTAGAGTTATTATATAACGTTATTAACATTATAGGATGTGACAATCACTTGCAAATCATGTCTCCATTATCTGAATATCTCTTTTTTTTATGATTTTTTTTTTTTTAAGGCGAAGTTTTAGAATTCAATGTTTCGATTTTACAGCAATTCTGAAAATGTAATTGAAAACCCACTAACCTAGATATACCATTTATTTATTTTTAAAATTCAAGTATGTGCCGGCCTAATGCTTCTTCCCATTAATTAGAGATTTGTTTCTGCCAAATATTTGCAAGAATGCCAAGGTCACAGCATCACGTGATATCAGAATCTTTAGCACGTGTTCGGGGATTCTTCCCCCATTCCGGGTCCACGTTGGGAAATCAATGTCTGATTCGCGTGTTTTTTTTTTTTAAATTAATTTTATTTATGTTGGTTGTCCATTTCTATTTTTTATTTCATTTCACTCATATATTATGCGATTTAAATTTAAAATTTTTTATTTTCAACGAAAAGAGATTATCACTGCATCATTTAAATCGTTAATGATTTATGGTTCTACATAAACATTACATTAATAAAGAATTAAGGGAAATCTATTCTTTAAAAAATAAAAAATACATATTATTCATTCATAAGATTGCTAATAATTTTGTTTATTAGTAATCTTTAAGATGGTTTTTAAACTTTATTTTATTTTTATAGTTCAAAAAAAAAAAACCACTATCAATAATTAAACATGATGTTTTGACCTAAAATAACTAATAATATTATTTATTTCTTAGGACAAAAAGTATGGATAGATTATCAAAATATTTTCAAGTGCCTTTTTAATGCAATCTAAGATCTAATATATAAAAGCTCTTATTAGGTTTGATATCCGTTTCAATCTCCCTCTAAATTTGTAACGTCCTAATTCATATGATGATGATGAGTGATATATAAGCATGTCCAACTTGAGATCTTATAAACCTTGACCCAAAAAATTATTAAGTCAATGATGAATTTTAGCTCAAGTTATTTTAAAGTTTCTTCCTATCTCTCTCATTTGCGTAATTTCGACAAAATTTGGAGTACTTATTAAATTACATCACATTCAGCTACTTTAATGCTCTGCTTAATTATAAACTAACGTACTTGACTCTGTTATCTCCACTTACTTATAAGCCAATGTTACTTAATTTGGCAATCGAGCTGCTTCCACGCAAGGCATTGTGTAATTTCACAATGGACAATTCAATTAAATTGAAGAGGACACAATGGAATGAAAAGTAGAGGTGCAATCAATGATGCACCATTAGTGTGACAAAGATCGATGGGTACTGATTATCAGCCACGATTAATTCTTCTTCCAACCCAAAGAAATCTGGTAATGAGGCGAACCAACTTTCTGTTGCAGACTACGATTTTATTTTGATTTAGGGGTATCCACTATACAGTGCTAGGAACTGCACATGTCTTGTTTTTGCTAAAGAAACTGCTAACTACTGATATAATTGCATATTGATTACTAGAAAAGCCAACAAATGTTGTTGATGCGATGGGTGAGGCAGCAATTTATGGTTGATGTGTCCAAGACTTACCTGCTCAGAACCAAGTACATTAAAAGGATTCTTAATGTACCTGTAACCGATACTCTTCCCCCAGAATTGAGATCCAAGCCAACGTGAAAGTAAATCCATAGCAAGTGCATGTACTACAGAGTAAACATGTAACTTAACCACAGGCAAAAAGATTAAAAAACGATCATGACAGGAACCTTCTTGACAATATTCAACAAGATTATTCACAAATGCTAGTGGTAGTATAGCTGCAGAGTGCAAAATCAAGAGAACAACATAAATTTCATGTATATTTGATAAGCTTTTATGGAGGTGTTTGCAGTTCATGATACTAAGGTTAATCTTCCCAATGATGCATATGGTCCCTGCCAAAGAGGAGCAAATAATGATTTATGCATTCCAATTTCCAGCAATTGATTATGAAGTCAGAACATTAGTCCTAAACATAACATGTTGCATCAGCATTACAAAGGTTGAAGTGAAAGATTATTGTTAGAAATCCTGAGTATTACGATTCAAAAACAGCAGGATATAGTTTAAGGTAAGTTTAGAGGTCCTTAATAAAAAGATTGTGTAAAATAGGAAGTTACAAGAACCGACAGGAAATTGACTTCGCTTGTACGGCTGCGGATAAAGGTAGAATTGTGGCATTAAAGTAACTCACCCAAACCATATGTATGGTTATCACATGAGAGTTAACAGAAGTGAGAGGGGGAACCAGCGAACAATTGATGCAATAAAAATGACCAAGTTATTAACCCATCTACACTGAGAGGGAAAGATGGGGTTGGTGAGAAGTAATGAACAATGAGTTTTGCCAGGAATAGTAGGAAGATTAATGACCATAAGTAACTAATTGGTACAACATACAAGAATCCAACAAAAGTTAAGGTGCAAGGGAAATGGCAGTTTAGGTCAAAGGTGATTTCCAGTTAACCCTCAACCCCTATAGCGGCACAAAAATAGAGGTGGTTATGGAATGTAATTCTTATATCAATTGACACAACATCAGCACATTTATCATTGGAATAAAGTTTGTTTCACATATATCTATCTATTTATTCCAAGCAATAAATGAACTATGAATATTTTCAAAAAGTTTTTGGTGTAACATAAAAGGTTCCTAATGGGTCTTGAGTTGCTCACAGAATCCGTCCAATTAACAGGAAGACTTGTAATCACTTCATTATCTAATTTCTTTTCACCATTACTTTCCATTTGACAAACTCAATGATCAATTAAAAGCACAAGCCTAAGAGATCAGAGTTTATGAATCTAGTTATGTACGGCTGATGTGCAAGTAGCATGGGAGGAGAGTTTGGGAATTGATTTTCTATTGCAGGAGCATGTATTCCATTGTGATTGTTGTTCTTGTCATAATCACCATCACCAGGGTAGCACCACTACTACTAAGATCATCTCCTCAATGATCATTAGTCATAGGATATATAGATAATTCATATCCTCCAAGGGTTAAAGTGAATAAAGAACCCATATCCAATCTCAAATGGGAGAGGAAAAGCAAAGAAGAATGTTTTCAACAGGTTAGCTAATCAAAAATCCAGTTCTTGTTTCAACTTATAATCATCAATGATCTGCTTGGCAAATGAATATCATACTCATCATACTATCATTTTTATGCTGTTTCTAAAGTATTATGAAATTCTTTTGTGCATATGTACTCAAACTAAATTTGAATGGTCATATTGTGGTTTTGTACTAACCACTAAGTGCCAGGGAGCAAGTCAAAGATAAATTTGTGAACTCTTTCAAGCATAGATTAAATATTTGAGGTCAAGGAGTTGGGAGATATTACTTGGTAAGGGAAAAAAGTGGAATAATAGAAAGGGATGGATGGAAAATGAACATTTTCTCTCACTTGGATTTGGTAATATGAGTTGTTTACATTCAAACTACAAATACCAATCTAATTCCCCTTCTGCATGACTGCAGATACCATCTGTTCACCTCTTTTTACCATCATTTGGAATGGTAAATCAAGCTGAGAAGGGTTACAAAATACAGGAGTGCCGTAACTCAAACAAATTTCAACCACCCTTGAAATTTTGACAAGAGACATTCAAAACTTCATGTCATATAATATATCAACTGAAACAATAGTCAATTATGAAGCTTCAAGAAAACAAAGTTTATCTACCTGTACTTGCATGTACCAAGCAAACTGATGTAGTAATGTTAAAATGTCTGTAACTGAGGAGTGACAGCTAGTCATCCAGGATTGGTGGCTGGTGAAGGTTGGTAAAATGTTCAGCCAAAGGGATGACACTGCCATTTGAAACCTCATTCTCACCCCTACACCGAAGCAACTGTTCTCTAAGACTTCTTACTAGCTCATTGAGTTTCTGAATATTTTTTTCTTGAGAAAGTATGATCTACAATAAAGTCAATAGAACAGGTTAAATATCAACTAATATAAAAGATGATATGTACCATCTTCCAACCATAGAATAGAAGTAACAAGTTAAAATAATGGATAAAACTTAGTTCAAGACTAAACAACCATAGATAATAATGTAAACAGTTACATTATATGGGTTTTATGAATAAAACAACTACATTAACTGAAGAAAAAATGTTCCCATAAAGTGGTAAGATTTCCAATCATAAACATCCAACCTAAAACCAAAGGTAACAGGTGTAGTAGTTCCCATTGTATTTAAGCCCACAAGTTTCCCTTTCAATTCATCAGTGTGAGATTTTCCCACTTAACACACTTCATTGCATGCAAGCCAACTAGGCCTATCACACTGACTCACAACCACGGCCTACCAAGCCACTGTCAAGTCAACCTCACCTTGGGTTGTGCATTGGAGCTGGTCTCACAATGACCTCTGCTAGTCACATACCAACTAGGATTACAAAAACCAGCCTTGGGTTGTGCATACAATTTGGGATAGGACTCTGATACCAAGTAAACATCCAACCTAAAACCACTTGGTAATGGGAGGAATAGTACACATTATTTAACTTGAGAGGTTTCCTTCAATTCATCAATGTGCAATTTTCCCATTTAACACCATTAAACAATCATGTATCATGTTAAGGTATTGCATGCAAACCAAAATAAATGATTTAGAACTGTCACTAGACACAGAAATCAAGGCTAGTATGCTACACAAATTTCAATGTCAAAAATCATGACCCATTTATGACTAGAAACACTAACTTTAGTTTATGTGGCTGCCTCTTGCTTAAATGACCTCTACAATTGAAAAGGAAGTCAAAACCTAAGGCATTTTCATCTAAACATGATAGATATTATTGAATTTTTGTTACTGCAAGTATATAAAGATTGAAGAGGTCACTTGAACTCTTAATTACAATTTGATCGCGGCAGGAAATTTGAAGTAAAACAGCTAAATCCACTAAAAAAGAAGTACACAATTGGGTAAGCAAGCAAGTTGGGCAGGCTTGTGGACTGAAGTAGTTATACATGTGGAAGAGTTTCCTCATGATTTTTAGCCAAACATGGTAGCTGGCTGAGCTGGAGGTAGACATGAAGATGTAGATACATCTAGCAAGATATAATCCCACCAAGTCTTATCACAAGGTTAAATGGTTATACTCCTACCTTTGACCATTTCTTACTTCTGCATAATTCTCTATCTCTAGTGACTTGAACTAATACTCTTGCTCTTGTCATGTTTCAAATCACAGTATATAGTCTCTATGAGCACATTATTGATCTATCAAAAATATTATCTCTGAACTATGATTAATAAATAGGGTGAGGACATCTTTACTAGAATTTAATGGTGACTATTTACATATGACAGAGTAGCACCATCATAAAAGTTTAATTGAATAAATACAGGAGTAAATGCAACAAAGTTATTTATGAGCACTGGACTCTTGACGGTACTACTTAAAAGGACAATTGGGATGAAGGTTTAAGAACCCACCATTTTTTGCAATAGACTCAGTTTTGTTTTTTTTTTTCTTTTTCTTTTTTTGGGCAGTACACGTGTATTGAAGGATTGATTTAAGCACTCAGTTGTAGAGAAAATTGCCAAGATTACACAATTAGCCCCTTAGGTCAACAAATGATGAGTATTTCAATCATAGGTAGATGCATGCACAGCAAAGTGAGAATTGGAAAGAGAAAGAAGGGGATGATAACTGCATTCAAGAATCAAAAGAAAACAGACAACAATACACCATTACTTCAACTCTATTCATGAGTTCTAGAATCCAGATGACTTCACTAAGCTAATCCTTCCTGGGACAGGCCTGGCAATATGAAGTTCATCTTTAACTTTGGCCAAAATAGAAGCTGACAAGCTGCTAGTTTTACAGAGGAAGCTCTTATATTGATAATAAAATCACACATCAAACTCAAATTCTGACCTACTGAAACTAATATAGATCAATATATGTATCACTTTCTAGCATGAACTTTTCCATCCTGCATAAAATAACAAATAAACTTTTAAATGCATGACTAAAACATTATCTTAATCCTGCATTCCTGGCAAGATGATTTCCACTACAAGATGAAATCTGGAAAACTCTAGAGAACAATTCAGAGAAAGTATAAAACTTTCTAAAATATTTTTTCCCCTAATCATCTTTTCCTTCTCATGGGAAGGACGTCTTCAAAGCTAAACAGGCTTGAATTGTCTACAATGATGTGGAAACTACAAATTTCTAACTGCTCCAAACAAAACAAAATCTCTAGTATCTCTAAGAAATCCAATGATTTCTTATTCTTAAGCACAAAGATCTCATATTGGGCAACAATGCAGAAGTAAACATAGTTTAAACTTTAAACAACATAGCTCTTCTCAGTACTCAACAACACAACAGGAGCAGAATGTTCGTCTCACTATTCTTTATTTACTCATTGCTTTCCAATAAACTTTCTTTAGATATATCTCAGAGACTGAGACTGGCCATCTAACTTGAACTAGAAAACAATAACCCATGTCCAAACCTTTGAATAAAACAACTATAACAAAGGAAATAATAATAATAATAATAATTCCACTGTGCAGCATTGGATCCAGCCAGCACCAGCAGCTACCCAACGAAGAAAAGATGAAAAGGAGAAAAATTTACGCAAACCCAAATGGATTCTAGGAAAAAGTTTACGACCCAATTAACCTTTGAATTAGTTCAACGCAACCCAGCCCTAGTCAAACTTCGTCGATACTAACAATGATTCTCAAAAGGGGAATTCCCAACACAGACAAATCGCTTCAACAACATCAACAATTCAAAATCAAATGAAACAATCTGAAGCAAAGATGAGGACGTGGGGATTGAAAATGTACCTTTTCTTTTACTGATTCTTGGTGTTGCAAAGCGTACTGGTCTTTTGGGGTTTCATTCCCCAATTGCTGCTTCCACTCGAACTGCGATGTGAATACGATTAACAGGAGAAGGACGACCAGCACCCATGGTCTCGCCATTGTGAACACACAGCTCTCATTTAAGAAACACTATCAATTTTGATGAACAGGGGAGCAGAAATGATATGCATATCGAGTAAGCTGTTCTACAATGCGCTCCGGATTATAAAACAAGAAGCTTGGAGGGAAGGAGGCAAAATATCAGAAGGCAATCCCCATTCATCAATTTCATACCATCAAGAATGTAAAACAGTTTTTTTATGGGTATTTTCAGCCAGATTATAAGTAATTAAGTGGGACTTAATTCCAATTAAATCATTGTATTTTATGAAGCAATTTAATTCTGGTTATGACATTCTTTAATGTTAGATATTTTCTTCCATGCATAACAAATAGAAAAAAATGTTTTACAGATGGATTACACCAATCAATAAATTTATTAAAATATCTTAATAAAATTATTTTTATAGTATTTTATAAAATACATTTTAATAATTTTATTAATTAAATTATATTTTTAATGTGTAATTCGAACTTATAAAATATAAATATCTAAATAGCTTAACATTTCATTTGTTTATTTAAATTTTAAACATAGTTATAATTTAGTGCATTTATTGAAGCATTTGAGGTGATTGTATTTAACACTCATGTAACAAAAAAACAAACATTTTATCTACATGTGACTTGAAAATGTATGACTTAACTCTTATATTATGTTTTGTTTGAAAAAAAATGGAGGTGAGGGAAGGGAATATTTTTTTTTATTTAATTATAAAAAAAATTGAAGAGAAAGAGAGGGAACAAATTTTTTTTTAATTTAGTTATTTATTTAAATAAAAAATATATTTTCAATTTTATTACTTATTTAAACAAAGAAAAGAGAGGAAACAAAGGAATGTAATTTCTTTTTTTGCTCATTCATTTTCCTCAATTCAAATATAGAGTCTAGTTATAAAATCAAAAAAATATAGTTACAATATAAAATTACAATCATAATAAGTTATTATATAATTAATTATTTTTATTTACAAATTTATTCATAATATTATTGTATGCATCTATACTTTATATAATATTATAACTGTATCATTACTAATTATAAAAATATGCACTTGAATCCTCTTCGGATTAAGTACAATAATGATAAGTTACGAATACATGGTATCCCAGTCTGTCTTCCGGCTGACGTCTTCATGAACAATTAGGCGTGAGCCCATTTTTAGGTCCGGCTTTACCAAGGTGGTATGGCCGCATCAGAGCAGGATGATTTCTCCGCAGAATGCCTCTCTTGTCTCTACCCATTTTTTCCATTCCCCGTAAGCTATGTATTCAGTTTTATAATGCAGTTAATATTGGGGAGCCTTTCCGCATAAGGAGCTAGAAGATCTCAAATAACGGCCAAATATCTGTCTTTCCGATTCCTTCTTTCTGACTGACCCATTTGATTTCTTCATTTTCCTAACCAAATTTCATCAATTGATCCTTTTTGGTTTTCTCGATGTTTGGGTCCAGGCACACTTTGGACTGGAAGGTCCTCTTAGGACAGACTCTTTGATTTGATTATGTAGCCAACCAGAGGAAAGACCATAAACTTGACCTTTTCTCTCATGCAGTAATAATGAAGAAGAACGGAAAATGCAACCAAAGAAAAAAGCGAGGAAAAAAAAAAAAAACGGAGACACCCAGCTACCACAAAAAGTGCAGGCATATTGCAAAAGTGATAATTCAAAGAGGTAAATCTCGCAGCCCAACAAAACTGGTGTAACAGTACAATCTTTCAGGTCAATTAGCAGAAGTCTAATAAGATTTCAGTGGCTCTATCCAATTACATATGTTAGAGAGAAATACGTAGCATCAAAAATCATGGTGTCTAATAAGCACAATCTAAATACCTTTCACTTTTTCCTCCGTTTAAGCTGTCTCCATTGCTGCAATATATGTATCGCTCCCTCCCCCAGTGTTGCTCTTCTCCCTTCAGCGAAATTCCACAGCTCTTGTACCGTGTACCTACCACTTGGGTTGTACTCATTCAACTCTTTCAGCGCTGTAGTCACAGCATTGCAAGCCTCATCACCAAACTCGTTCTTCAGATCTCTCAACTTTTCATCATCTTCATCAATCATTTCCTGTACAACAACATGAAAGATTGAAGCATTTAGTAAGCTAAAACCTGAAAGCAAAAGAGGATAGATAGCCAGCAATACCAACAGAATCAAAATAACAGATTTTGCTAGTATGATTACATACCGTAGAATTTTCTTCCTTGTCAATGATTATCTTAAAAGGATGCCACTTTGGATCCATTATATAATCCTCCCATAGTGAAGAAAGTTCTGCTGCTTTCTCATCTGCTTTACCAGCAGGGAATTTTCTCTTGGCGGCAGCAACAAATGGTTTATTGTCAAGCTCTCCCATCCTCTTGACACCAATCTTGGCACGTGTTTTCATGTCCTTCAAACTCTGTTAAACATGAAGAGCAGACCATATCAGCATTACCATATTGGTAAAGATATCATTCAATGACAAGCACATATGTGAAATGACTAACTGTAGTCCACTCCAAATGGAGGCAGAGAGATATGTAAAACATAAGCTCTAATGTAGATCTTTCCAATGATTATCACATGGATTTTCCAATCTAGATGCACTAATAAATAAGTTATCCTGATAAACCAAAAACCCCTCTTCCTCGTTTCCTAAACAGAAAGTTTTCAAGATCACTATGCTTAGAGTAAATGAGATTGCTTTCCCATTAAACAATGTAGCAACTACAAACATCTATGGTTTAACTTGGCTAAAAATCAGGATAAATAATTTTCCCTATCAAAGTAGTAAAAAGGCCAAACAAGGAGATGCTTACACTGATTAACTCCTTACGAGCATCCTGTAGTTCATCATTGCATTTGCGTTCCTTGACAATGAGAGTTTGATTAAGTGCATCCAGATGTTCCAGGTTTTCTTCCTTCTCCTTTAAATCTTCCTCTATTGCAGCCAACTTTTCCTTTGTTTCTGCTTCTTCATCTTCTTCTCCCATATGTTTTATAACTAGTAAAGCTCCTCTCAAGCGCTCTATCTCCAATTGCAGTGCGTGTTCTGCATCAACCTTCTTTTCTAGCTCAATGAATTTTCTGTGAAGTTCCTCTGTTTCTTTCTGAAATTGGAAGTCAGCCAAGATCACATTTTATAATTTCATGAATTAGACAAAGTCAGCTGTCATGTTAAATGTTCATCATGAAGAATGAATGAAGAGGAAACCTTTTGATCATCAGCCAGCTTTAATAGAGTTTCATTTGCCTTCTGCTGCTCCAAGGTTGCCCTGTCATTCTGAAAGAATAAAGACTGATATTAAAAACCTTCCAAAAAACCAAGCTGACCATTGCTGATAAAGAGTATAATGCCAGTACTCCAATAAGAAAAACTTGCATTCTTTCTTCACAAAAAAAATGGAGTACAAGATGGATATTTTGAGCTTTCAAACAAAAATCTTGAAGCAAACATGCAGGAACTCCATTTATAAACCGCGTGAAAGAAAAGGCTAAATGTGACTAATTTTCAAATTAACAATTCAGAGTGGACATGAAAATGAAGGAATAAATACTCAGTTATTAATAGGAAATATTAATTATGAACATTATTTTACTTATCATACCATTTATCCGCAATAAGACACTTACTATACACACCCATACATCCTGAATACTAAATTGTTAGGCAAATAGAGCTAATGAAGCATTTAGAAAGTATGAAACAGACATACATACCATCTCTTTCTCAAGTTCAAGTTTCCTTCTCTCATTTTCATTATGGGCTGCAAGTTGCATTAACTCTTTCTCATGCTGATACAATTCCCTTTGCCAATTTTTGAGATCCATTGTAACTTTGTCATTCTCCAAGGATATTTTCTTAAAATGATCATGAGAAACCTGGCGCATTCTTTTTTTCTCTGACCAAAAAGAGGTCAGATGCAGGAAGCTGCTAGGCTCATATAAAGTATAATTTAATTCATCAAAATAGAAAAAGTAAGAAAATTTTAGTATACCTTCATTATAAAAGATGATGATCTTCTCCTTTTCATCAATTACCTTATTTACAGCCACACTTGTCTCAATATACTTGCTCTTAATTTCCTTAAGGTGCATATTTTTGGTCTTCAAGGTATTGGTTAAACTTGACACCAGAACTGCAGCTTTCTGTGCATCTTCAGCCTCTTTTCCAGAGACGGTTTTTAGATCTCCATGTTTACAAAGATAATCACCGATCAAATTTCTAGAATAGTAATCATCATCACGTGCAATCCAACCATACAACTTTTCTCCTTGATGTCTTGATGAATAATAATCCCTCTTGCCACA